AGCCGTCAAAACACAGCAAATCAATTTTTCCCCCTTACTGTCCTCAGTCTGCCTTTTCAGGATATTTTTAGTTGCCCTGATTAAAAATTTACCTCTTAAGTACACTGAGGACACAGTCCATGTCTAGATTACAATTTTGTATAACTTTTTCAGTCTACCTGTGTATCTTCCTTGCAAAGAAAGATGTGGAGCCGTATCTTTCCTTACTTCCCTTATCTTTCTAACAAAACAGAAATATTAGTAACTAACTTTGAAAGACCAACAGGAAAATAACTTCACAGCAAAATGCAGAAAATACATCTTCAGAAGGAAGATGTGAGGCCATCACATGTCATGGGATTACACAAGATACCTTACACAAGAGAAACATGGCATGCTAAACTGGAAAGCACACTTGCAAGTCTTGCCCAAAAAAAGATAAACAACCTCAGCATTTCTGTATTCTGTCTTTGGTGATGCATTTTAGGGGACAAGTTCTCACCCCTGGACTCTTATCTCTCTCTGCCCTCTTCATCAAGGACAATGTGGGTCACAAATGTCTTGCGCCACTTCTATCACATATTCTACCATGTATGATTAACCACTACTTCCTCTATTCTTTTGTTCAGATATGCTTCAATTACCATGCCTGAAATTCTGCATGTGTGCAGCCACAGTACTTATCTGAATATCACCAAAACTGTATGAATGAAGGAATGTAAATCCCTCTTCCTGGGATCCTCTGCATTGATCTGCTTATTCATAGCAGGCAGAGACCTTTCTACCTTTTGACTGCCATTCAGCTACCCTTTCTTTTTTCCTGTGAAACCTGTTTCCTATCCAAAACTGGAGAAGTCTTGACTACTGAAAAAGAGATTACTTTCTGATTTAATTTCTGAAGCTTATCTAATTCATATTGATTAGACAGCTTAGACAAGTTGGGTAGTAGAAGGCCTAAACGTAAAGATATGGAGGATAAAACAGCCATTGCAAGAGAAAGGGAAACACCCCTTTCTCTTCTTCTTTCAGTATCAATAAAGTCCAATTTTTTTTTTTTTTTGCAAATGTTTGTTCACTAAAATGTTCCAAGGGGGAAAATGTCAGCTACAAATCCTCACTCATTGTGTATTTGCACAGCAATGCTTAAAGGTCCTTAAAGATCTCCGAGGATTTGAAAGAAATAATTCAGTCAGGTAGCAAAAACAGTGCCACTGCCTTCCGGTGGCTGGTTACACGGCTCATGGGGCATCTGACAACTCCAGGCGAGTCACAGTGAACTCACTTCACACATCATGCATGGAGAAATGCATTCTACCATCCAAATGTATGAAAGTCTAACTGTTTGAAGCTAATGCATCAAGCAAAAATAGCTGCAATACACAGGATGGACATGCAATACACAGGTGGAAAATGTTCTGCTCATTGCAAAGAGACACTTCTCTGCTTTTCTTACTGATAGCCTGCTCTTGTTCTTGCCAAAACCACCACAGCTTCACTCAGTTTTCTTGGCACTTAAAAAAGTCACAACTTTTCCTTCACATATGCTGGCTGATTCTTTCTATACCTGAGTAACAGTGTGTTGCAGCCCTGTTTTGCATTATTCATCTTGGATGAGGTTAAACCCTGACTGTGTGACACATCACACATTACTCAGTTTACCTCAGTGCTGTGTTTTGATTTTGCTCAGTTAAGTTTACCTAGGACACATTTAGGCTGGAACAGTTCTTAATTACTCCAGCAGAGAAACTTGGCATTCTCCTAAATTTGTGCTTTTCAGCAATGAGACTCCTTTCATTCTGCTCTATCTTTAAATTGCCTGCGCTTCCCTAAAAGTTGTCTCAATATTATTGCCTTACAAAGCAGATAATCAAGATTTACTTGATTTCAGGCATCTCTTCCTTGCTTAAACAATTACTTACCCCATGCTCTTTCCTGCCCCCACTTTCCTTTTCCCTGTAGAGAAATACATTTTCACTGCTAATACACACCATAATGTGTATTAGCAATTAGTAATACGCAATGTACTGCAGAATGGGTATCAGTCCAAAGCCCAGTGAAATCTTGAAAGGTTTCTGAACCACAGAAAAGACAACTACACAGTATTACACAGGCAGCCTCTATAAAGGATCTTCATTTAAAGACCTCTTTTTGTGTTATAAATTGGTTTTATTTGTGTAACATTTTCTACCTTCAGATCTTTATAGTCCAATAACTAAGAAAAGCAGTTTAAGAAGGAAAATGAGACTACCAAATGTCCTAATTCCTCATGAAACTGGTGTTTTTAAAGGATAAAAAAAATCTGAATTTTAAATTCTAGAAGTGATTAAATACAAGCAGGAACTTAATAAGCTGCTTGTAAGTAACTAACATTCAAAACAGCAGCACTGCAGTTTTTCCAGTCCTAGACACTTTTCTCCCATCCTCCACAGCAGATTCACTAAAAATTCAAGATAATGATTACAAGTGCCTAGATCTGTAACATACAGATCCATAGCAACGCTGAGGATCTCTTATGTTAATTTCTGTGCCCAGAGACTTTTCTGCAACACTGAATTAAAGAAACCACTGTATCATTCCCATACCAAGATGATTATCTAGGAATTAAGACTAAGTAGAAAACTCTTTTCAAAACGTCAGTCTTCCAAGGCTTTTAAAAATCAAACAAAATTACTGATGTCACTTACATCATCAGTTCTCAAAAGTTACATATCTGCACACATCCTGTTCTAAAAAGAAAGGGCAAAGTAACCATTATGAAAGCCTTCATTTATGATTCCTTGTTGATGCAGTAGATAATCTCTTTGGAATTACTGATTTTTAATGGGACATTTGAAAATATTTCTTTTACTGTTGTTGCAGGTGAAAAAACCAATCTACAACATCACTTACCAACAATCAATTAGTGTCACCTCTTAAATTCTTCAGATGTAAAGGTGAGAAATTTTTCCTCCCTAAAGTGTCAAAACATATTTGGATGTCTGCTGAGTGAGGTTTAAATGGTTTAGAGAACAAAACTAGTAAAGGTCCTAAATCTGTTTGACAATTCTCTGTGAGCAATCAACCTTCCCTTCTATTTGCAGAAGTCACAGAGGGAACCAGAGGTGTATTCCTCGAGGAGGGACAACTGTCATCCTTGGAATATGTTCTGCATGTGTCAAAGCATATCAAAGGAGAAAATACACATAGTAGAAAACCAGAGTAGTGAATGCTGTCCCTGCCTCACCACTCTACTAGTATGGAAGCCAATGTTCTCAGCAAAGAAGAGAAGCATAACCTGTGAGTTGAGCCATGACTGATGCAGTGCTGCTGGCAGGCTGCCACAGCGTATGTGGATTTCCCCAGTAAGATGCTCAGAGTAATCACAGAATAATACTGCCACTGTTTGAGGAAGCAGGGAACAAGACTTCTCCAAACTTTCAGGCTTGGAAGAGCTGCTTGCACTACACATAGGATTTTCCCCCAAGAGATGATGTAACAACGAAGATAATTGCTGGTCTGGTATCACTGAGGAGAATGCAGACAAAAAGTGGCAATGAGCACTGAGGTGTTACACATACAATAAACTTCTGGCATGAAAGAATGGAAGGATCAGTTCCAGAATGGGGTTCAACAATTTTTACCAAAAAATGTTGATTCTACTGTTTGAGAACCATCATGATAGAAGACAGCAGGATCTGTGTGCAGAGCCTTCAATGTGTACGTACTTGCACTAACTGATACTATGGTGCACTCCAAGTGCAATAAGAAGTTACCCATATCTGCAATAAACTTGTTTCCCAATTTCCCTGAAAGACATATTCTGTTCTTTACAATGAAAAGTACTCATTATCTTATCCTAACCTGTATTCCTCTTCTGCACACACCATCTTGAGTAAAATGTGTGCTTTTGCATGATTTGCATGTGAGAAAGACTCAAGAATTAATGACTCGAAGTTTTAAGATGCCCATACAAATTTCATTTCCATTTCTGTTTCTTCACATAGCACAAACAGTCTCATATAACACTACACAAAAAGGGTAAAAAGGAAAAAACCCTCAGAAAATAAAAATCCACTGTAAAGCCATGAAAACTAGGCCACAGAACAATCAATTCATCTGGCCTGCATCACATACCAAATTCAAAAGAACACAAGAGTTAAATACCTGGATGCAGAAAGCAGAAAATAAAAAATCTATAGGTGTTGGAGAACAGCATGAAACATTTTCCTGTTATCTTAAAAAAAGGTTTATTATTTGCCTTCCTACAGCACTTTAAAAAGTCTCAAGACAAATTATTTTAAACCTCAGTTTTAGAAAGCTAGATAGCCAGCAGCTTTTTTATTTCTTGATTTGGAAACAGCAAATTGAAAAGCAGTACATATGTAATAGCTGATACTTGCCTGCTTTTGAGGCAACTGTTATTACCAGTTGGACAAATACCCTGTGCACTCCCTGGTCATGTCAGTGCTGCAATACCCATATAATGTTCTGAAACCCGAGAGATTGTTCAACAGCATAGAAATAAGTGTCAGAAAGAAATGAACAAGGTCTTTTTTTTTCCCTCACAGTTGAACACCAACAATAGCATTCTGCAACAAACCATTATTAGTACTGACATTATAGTAAAGGTCTACTAGTGTGCCAAGACTAGAAGAAGAAAGGAAGAGAACAAGGAGACAAACTTCATTCACTTAGCAAAGAGCAGGACTAGAATGTCAGACACGCGCCGGACAGGAGTGTCACGCACTGCCAGATGTATTGAGGAAGGCAGTTGTTCACTGTTGCTGCCAAATCCTGAGCACAAAGCATTGGGGTAGTCTGAATACCAGAAGTTCAGTACTAGTGGAAAACTGAAAAATAGGTAATATTTCTTTTAAATAAAAAGTTTGTTGTTTGGGGGTTTTTTTGCTTCAGGATAGTTTTGGAGCTAAAAATGAAATGTGCAAATATAAGAATCAAGAACTTCTTGGTATACAGAACTAAAATATTCACAAAATATTTATACTATGACCACAGGAAAATGTGTTAAAATTTTCACTTACTTTGGATGGGCAAATTCATCCAGCAGGACAACCTTTTCTATCAAGTCTCCACCAATGGTTCGAACCAAATCATAGAAATCATTCTGAGAGTATGTCTCAGAGGGCAGCCAGAAGGAGATGTCATTGATCAAAGGTGGATATCGGCTGAGTGGCTAAAAGAAATTTAAAAACATACCTTTATACATGGTTGGACTTGATAACTATATCTACAACTGTTCTGAACTTACAAAGTACACAAAGTACACAGTTTAGAGGCTTTTTGAAATGGTCTTTGAAGGACAAACTGACCTCATAAATGACTGAGATGAAAGATTTTATACTAGGAAATGTCCTTTAAAGATCCCCTCATAACAACTTTGTTTTTTTCATTCATAAGAAAAATCTTGGTTTTGTTTGCCAAAATCAGAGTTTATTACTCTGAACACACTTTTGCAACAGAGCTGCTTAGAAGGAAGAGATAATGTCAGGTGGTTTTTCACTGGGTAGAACTGCACTTTTTAAAAGCATTTTCCAGACTTCTGGCATATTCAAAACTTCTTGTCACATTCAGGTATAAAATTTATATGCATATTATAGGACTCTTATATTACACAACATATTTATTATTTTTACTATCAAATTTTTAACAAAGTCATAAATGGGCAACTTCTTATTAAAATGTTTTAATAAGAAACACACTTTGGCTTAAAAAGAGGGATCAGTTCACTTTCTGGTGGTTTTTCTAGACATTTAAACATCTACAACAACACAAAAGGTATGGCTGTTAACATAGTTATTCATTCCACAAGTACCACAGTAGGCTTTTAAACACAAAGGGGAACCTTTGCTGCCCACACAGAGTGGGCAGATAGTGTAACTTGTTATTTGTAAAAATGGGAATAGAAAGAGAAATGAAACCAGATAATTAACTTTTCAGTTTTGATGAAACTTCCCAGGACTCTGTGGGTTTCAGATCTCACCTTTGGTGAGATGTTTCGCCCTTTGAAGAACAGAAAATGGTAACATTCTCCTTTCATGACCTCTAGGTCATACAGTATCTTACTTCTGCCTTGCATTAATTCTCTGCAGTTGAAAAAAGTACTTTTGCACAAGATAGATGGAGTCTGCAGGAGAAAACATCTATTTTATTATTTTCTTTATATATACAAGAGATTCCATGTGTATACCTTGGTCTATACAATATAATATCTCACTCAAAATGTATTCCATGTCTGGGAATGTTTTATGATGGAGCAGTGGAAACTTAAGTGAGTACCTGCTAAAGCAATAAACCTGTTAATAAGGCAAGTTTACAGTATTCTGATTTACTCAAATACTGTTCTGTAGAGTGTAAACCAGTCAATAAATATCCGATAAGGAATACAGTGCCAGTTTTAAATTAATAACACCCCCAGCACATAAAATTGTGAATCACAAATGATTATTGAACTTGTTACAGGAATAAACTTGTCAAATGAATTCATACCCTGTACATCAAATTAAAAAAGGAAACTTGCACAACAAATCCATTGCAAAAGAGCTTTTGATAAAACACTAATGAATGAAATGCAAATGTCTCTGCTCTACAAAAGTCGCAGCTGCAGATGCTGGAGATGTTCCTCAGACAAAAACTTGATACATGTGTTAGTGTAAATAAAGTTATGATCCTGCAGTAGACCCCTCTAGTCTCACCTCATTCCCATCCATCACTTTATTTACCACTGCTGTAGTTCAGGAATATACTGAACACCTTTCAAAGCTTGGTGGGACTAATACAAAACTCACTGCACTCACAGTTCAGGACATTTAATCATTCAACCAGATGTGGCTCATGAGCCTTAGCAAGGCATCTACTTTCATTCACACAGGTACAAGGACAATAAAGAAAACTAATTTCATGTCTAGGTAATTCAGAAATGTCCTGTGCTGGTTTTGGCAAGAATTCATTTTCTTCACAGGGGCAAGCACGGGGCTGTGTTTTGGATTTGTGCTGAACATATGGTTGGTAAGATAGAGATGCTTTTGTTATTGCTGGGCAGTATTTGCACAGAGCCAAAACCTTTCCTGCTTTCCGTATTGCCACACTGGCAAGAAAGCTGGAGAATTTGGGAGGAGACACAGCTGGGACAGGTGACCCCAAATGACCAAAGGGACACTCCAGACCCTACAACATCCTGCTCAGTATATAAAGTGGGAAGAAGGGATATGTGGACTGATGGTGTCTATTTTCCCAGGTAGCCATCACATGTGATGGGGCCCTGCTCTCCAGAGATGGCCTGCCCATGGGAAGCAGGGAATGAATTTCTTGTGTGTGCAGCTTTTTCTCTTCAGTGTCACTAGCGTGGATAGAGAATTGTTGTAATTTTGTGTGTGTATGCTTGTGTTACCAAGACTGAAAGGACAAATGCGTAAAACATAACATAAGCATTACTTTTTATTATTAGCTACTAACCTTTTCTCAGAGCCTTGTAATACAGAAAAATCTTTTATGGTAAAAGGCAAGGCAACAATCCCATATTATATTGTCCCTTCACCACCTGGCTGCAGTCAATATCATTGCAGTAAGTCTTATATCAACAGTAAAGTTAGTACAAGGATAAAATTCCTAGTTCTCAAATGTATCGATCTGTTTGCTGTAGCGCTCCATGAGTCACATCATAGTTTATTAGCTGCACCTAAAATGCGAATAGGCGACTAAAGAGTCTCCAATTGGCAAGCCAAAATGAAGTTCCTACATTTGTATTCAGGCACTCCAGCAAATACATACTGTGGTCCAACAGGCCTCTTTGCCATTCTTTGATCCTTTCTAAACTCTCCTGCTCTATAACAGCAGACTGGTCCAAAGTCCATTGACTTTGGTCCTTTTTCAAGTTCAAGGCAAATGCCAACACTGGAGACCATTTGCTATGAATTTACAGACATTTCAAAGGCTCCCCTTGAGAGAAATGTGTTCTTCCACTAAATCTTTTACTCTGTTGTTGCCTCCAGCCACCACTTCCAGCTACATTCGCTTCATGGCTCAGGAGTCCTCCAAAACAATGTTTGGAGAAGCTACCAGGACACATCTGCTTCTGCAGGCTGTGTGTTGGCTGAACCCTAGCACACCACCCGAGCCTGGAAGCCGTGCTGCTCCCACTTCCATGCCCTGATCACTCCCTTAGGTTTTTGAGGAACTGAAAAGAGGTCTAGGAAATGGCAGAACTGATCCCACCTGCAGAGTGCTGCTGCAAGTTGTCAGTAAGCACTGCTGATGCACAGACATCCCTGCACCCCTCCTTTTGGTTCCATCAAAGTTTTGACACCACGGTGCTGCTTTAAACATTCTGTTCACTTTCTGTTTCAAACACTTCAGCACACTATCACTGACATTTTTCAACAGCCTCAGAAAACAAATGCTTTCCCAGAAATTACACTATCTGTAGGACTCCACTGAGCCCATCTTGTAGGAAATCTTGGAAATAATAAATGACATCACATTTTTCAATCACCCAAAGTGAAAACATTTAGGAGTTCTGAATTACTATAATTTCTTTAAATAATAAAATGGAAGTTTATGGTGATCCACACGTTATATATGATATATGTTTCCTAGTCAACAGTCAAAGATCTTTCTCTGATGTATGCTTCCTAGTCATGTTATATGTTTCCTAGTCATTAGTCAAAGTTCTTTCTCTGACTACTAAATAAGCCAAGTATTTCCTAAAACTGCAAGTTTTTCCCTCTCAGGATGCTAATTTTAGTATAGAAATGGTAGTTGGACACCAGTGCTATAACCTGCTCTGCCAGCCTGCCTTGCCTATGCCTACACCTACCTGAGGAGTGCACCGCTAAAAACACAGGGCTGTTAGTCTTTCATATGGGTTGGTGATAGTTTAGGGCATTCCTCATCTCTACTGCTCTGCTCTGCCTTTCTGAGATTATTGTCCCTGCAGCAGCTGATAAAACAAACATGTGCCTGTTTCTTCACCACTGCAGCTCACAGCCTGCTGTAGCCAGCTGAAAATTGTCCCTCTCACTGGTTTATGTTAATATGTGTTGGATGAAGAATTGCAGCAGCTCGAGTTATTGGGGGGCAGCTGTCTTAAGCAGCAACAGGATCCATCAGAACTCATTTGCCAACATAAAATAGCAAATACTTGGGATCTGTGTATGTGGCCACACCAGGCCACTACTCTGGATGCTTTGGCAGCAGGAATCAAGTGGTCACCATAAGAGTGGTATCTGTTCATCCACACATGGCAAAAGATCATCAGCTAGGCTGGATCCAGATACCTCACAGCTGTAAGGGAGAGAAAACTTCTTTCTGAGGGCAGAACCTCACAAGCTGCAGCAAAAACAGCTGGCAATAATGCGCAGCCAGGACCAGTGAATAACCCACACAAGGCTGTGAAGTGTCTTTAGCACAGAGTCCCAAACAACAGGATGGACACCAGCACTTTCCACAAATACTTGTAATTAGGAAGAAAAGCCATTTCCCCCAGGTGGGTGCAACAAGGCAAGGGGACAGGAGAAGTTTTGGGCTGTGGCTGCTCACTCCATTCCTTCCCTGCTGCCAGCTGCAGATGGGACAAAACAAATGAGTGACAAACACAGCAGAGGAAAAAGCTGTACTTGTATTTTGACAGTGGCGACACAAATGCAAGGTTAACGACGACACGCACCAGAAACTGGGTTAGCAATTCCACAGCAGCCAGGCTATTAAAAAGTCAGCCATGCTTTACTGCCATCACCAGTCTAAGTCAGAAAAATATGAGACTTAGCAGCATCGTGGCTGCTAGGCTTTAACAGTCCTGTCTTGCTCATGTTTTGGAGAAATATCTACATAAACTACACAGTTTTAATGCAACATCATATTCTCATCAAAATGAAAACTACAGTCCTGTAATAACTGAGCCTTTCTTAATATATTCCATGGTGAAACTACATTAATTCAATGTTATCATAGGAAATTTAAACACGTAACAGGCATGAAATTAAAATTTGCAAATTTACAGCAGTAACTTAACCCCCATGCACATAACGAAGTTTCCTGTATTAGTGTGTATGCTTCTAGATTTACACTTCCGTATTTATGACCAGTGTAGACAAATTACAGTTGCTGCAGGGAACATAACTTCGAATTTCTTGGCTGCCATGGCTTAAAATTTAGTCACAATGTTCCCCATTATTGAAA